CTATAAATATCTGGGTGCAGGTTTTTATATGGACATAAGTTTTCAACTTATTCGGATAAACATCAAGATCTAACCATCTAATCAGCACAACTGCTGGATCATATGGTAAGAGTATGTTTAGTTGTGTAAGAAGCTGCCCAACTGTCTTCCAAAGTGGCTGTACCATGAATGGCATTCCTGTTGCTACACGCCCTCTCCAGCATTTGGTGGTGTTGGTGTTCTAGATTTTGGCCATTCTATTAGGTGTATAGTGGTACCTCATTGTTGTTTTAATTTGCATTTCCCTGATGCATGTGATGTGGAGCATCTATACATATGCTTATTTATCCTCTTTTTATATTCTTTAGTGAGGTGTCTGTTGAGGTCTTTGGCCAAATTTTTAGTCAGGTTGTTTTCTTATAAAGTTTCAAGAGATTTTGTTTTTGTTTGTTGTTGTTTTTTTGTAAATTTTGGATAACGGTTATTCATCAGATGTGTCTTGTAAATATTTTCCCCAGTCTGTGGCTCACCTTCTCATTTTCTTGATTAATGCTCTTTTAAAGTTATGTACTCTACCTTTTGCATTGCTAACATATGCATATAATACAAAACCCCAAAGGTGCACAGAGTATACATTGAAAAGTCAGTCTTCCCCAACCTTCGTCCCTTAGCCTACAAGTTCTCTGCAGACAACACTGTCACTTCCACTTACTTACCTGAATCTTTCCAAAGATGGTCTATGCAAAGATACACAAACATGTGAATTTATTTTTTTGTTTTTAGATAAAGAGCAGCTTATTACATATACTCTGTGCACCATCTTTTTTTTTTTTTTTACCTAAAAGTGTATCTTGGAGATGTTACATATCATATCAGTCTAGATGGAGCTGCCACATATTTTAAAATGGTGACATAGTATTCCATAGTATGATGTACTATTTATTTTTTTAAATATTTTTTATTTTTCAATTACAGTCGGTATGCAATATTACATGAGTTTCAGGTATACAACCCTGTGATCAGACATTTATATAACTTATAAAGTGATCACCCTGATAAATCTAGTACCCATCTGACACTATACATAGTTATTACAATATTATTGACTATATTCCCTATGCTGTACTTTATATCCCTGGGACTGTTTTGTAACTACCAATTTGTACTTCTCAATCCCTTCCCCTTTTTCACCCATCTCTCCACACTACCCCCCCATCTGGCAACCATAAAAATATCCTTTATCTATGAGTTTGTTTCTGTTTTGTTTGCTTGTTTATTTTGTTTTTTAAGTGAAATCATATGGTATTTGTCTTGCTGTGCCTGACATTTCATGTAGCATAACAGATGTACTATTTCTTTAACTAGCCCCGTGTTGGTGGACATTTAGATTATTTCCAATTTCCTGCTGTTACTAATAATGTTACAACAAAAAAATCCTTATAAAATACATCAGTTCCTACATGGGCAAATACATCTGTAGAATAAATTCCTAGAAGTAGGATTGCTTTGGTCAAAGGGTGGCTTTTATATATTTATAAAATATTGTTTATTTCAGTACTCATGGAAAGAATGAACAACCTGAAATGTTGCCTTGCTGGGAGACCTCTGTGAAGTTTATCACAGAAACCATTGAGTGCTTGGCTTTGAAGTATTTGTCTTTTTTTTGACCTACTGCAAGTTTATTCCTTCTTCCCTCAATATGTATTAACATACTGCATATCAGAAATGTTGGTAGGCCTTAGGGATAAAACCACAAACAAGGCAGACATGGTCACTGCACAGTTCCAGAGGTCGGGTTGTGGCAGGGAGTACACATGAAAGAAATAATTATACACCAAATCATTACATAGTGTGTCACATGCCATGAAGGAGAAGTACAGGGTGACCAGAAGTGCTTACTAGGCTGCCAACTTTGGGGATCTGAGAAGACTTCCTGGAGGAAGTGGTATCTATTCTGATCAACCGGACAGACTCAGCTAGGCAGAGGAAATGGCAGGTTTGAAAGCTCAGAGTCAGGAAGGAGCATACATTAGGGCCAGCAGCATGGATTATAGGACCAAGAAAGGGCCTTCAAGGTCATTTCATTCCAATCTCCTAACTTGACACGTGAACAAACTTAGGTTCAAAGAACTAAACGACTTGGTCAAGGTTATACAGATAGTGGCAGAGCTGCCCTAGCTGGTTTGGCCAAGTGGTTAGAGCGTTGGCCTGAGGACTGATGGGTCTGGGCTTTGATTCCGGCCAAGGGCATGTACCTTGGTTGCAGGCTGGATCCCCGGCCCAGGTTGGGGCACGTGCAGGAGGCAACCAATCAATGTTTCTCTCTCTCTCTCTCTCTCTTCCACTCTCTCTGAAAAGCAGTGGGGGGAGGGAAATATCCTTGGGTAAGGATGATAGATGATGATAGATGATAGATAGATGATGATAGATGATAGATAGATAGATATAGATAGATAGATAGATGATAGATAGATAGATAGATAGATAGATAGATAGATAGATAGATAGATAGATAGATAGATATAGATAGATAGATAAAGGCAAAGCCCGGACTAGGACCTGGCTCCTCTGATATTTTTCAGATGGTGCTATGCAGCAAAAGCAGCATGCCCATCCTGGGATCTATAGATCTAATCTAGACATCTATGGGATCATGCGGAGGGAGTGTTTAAGTTCAGGTCCTGTGACTAGCAGCCTAACATGTTTGTTTCTCTTTACTAGTAAGATAGTTTGGGCAAATGGCAGTCTAGCATTCCAGTCTAGTGGGTTGGTTTAGTCGTCAGCAGACTTGTCTCTTCTCCAGGTTTAGATAATAAATAATAATATTAATAATGATGGTTACTTATGTAGTGCTTGCTATATGTCAAATGCTGTTCTAAGCATTTTACATGTAGTTCATTTAAGCTTGACAAGAACCCTATAAGGTAGATATTATTATTACACCATTTTACAGATGAGGAAATTGAAGCTCAGAAAGGTCAAGCCATTTGCTCAACGTCACAAAGCTAGTGCGTGGCAAAGCAGGGACTCAGTCCAAGCAGTCTGGCTTCAGAGCCCATGTACTTTTCCCAAGCACTCTCAGTATCAGCAGCCAGTTAGTAGACTCAGGTCTGAGCCCCCAGCAACTTTGGGCCTACACAACCCTGGCTGCACATCAGAACCACTTGGGGAGCTTGCCAAAAATGCTGATGTCCAGGCCTCACCCTAGGTCAGTTAAATCGCAGTCTCTAGGAGTGGATTCCAATCATTGATGGTTTTGAAAGGCATCCCTGGTTAGTCTAATATGAAGCTAAGGATTGAGAAGCACTAGTATGTAGCCTTACCATTCCTTCTTCCTTTGGGTGTATTTTAGTTCAAGCTGCTATAACAAAATACCATTGTTTAAGTGTGGCTTAAACAATACTTACTTCTCACAGTTCTGGAGGCTGGGGAAGTACAAAACCAAGGAAGCAATAGATTGACTGGGTGTCTGGTGTGACCCCACTTCCTGGTTTGTAAACACCGGCCTTCTTGCTGTGTCCTCACATGGTGGCGTGAGAGAGATCATATCTCCAAGTTCCTCTTTATAAGAGCACTAATCTCATTCATGAGGGCTCCACTCTCATGACCTAATCACTTCCCAAAGGCCCTATCTCCAAATACTATCACACTGGGGATCAGGGCTCAACATATGAATTGTGGGGGCCCGTAAACATTCAGTCCATAGGAAGCAACCAGCAATACATGTTTTCTTTAGTGTTGTGAATGTCAGTTTGGTATGACACTTGTAGAGAGGCACCGATTCACACCATACCACGAGCTCTAGTCTTTGCATAAATAGTTTATTCAGTGTACATGCTACGGCAGCCACGTTCAGCGTGGATGTGTGGTAACAAGCGTATCAAGAGCTACAATAGCATTCTCCGTGCTGGGCATCAGAAGGCAGTGCAACTTAGTGGTGTAGAGCTTCGTTTTGCATCAAACAGACCCAAATTCAAGTTGATGCTTTGTCCCTTCTGTTCTGTGATTTTGGAGATTTATCCTTTCACAGACTCCATTTTGTCATCTATAAAATCAAGCTAATAAGATAAAATTACCTATTTCATGAGGTTTTTGTGAAAATTAAATGAGCTGGAACATGTAAAGGACTCAGTGTAATGCCTGACACCTAACAGTAGATATTGGCCATTTTTTTTACTTCATGACCATTCATGTAGCTTATTTGAGCCTGGTCACAGGTAAACAGTTGTATTTGGGGGAAAGCTACTAGTGACGCTGATATTGAGGTAAATTTGGTCTGACATTATGTGCAATGAAGGATGTTAGGCCCTGAAGAGCTAGAACGGTGAGGAAGGCCCAGTACCTGCTCCCCTGAGCTCTCTGGCTACAAGGCCAGATATTGTACCTAAATAACTCATGCCAGAAAGACTGTGCCACAGCAGAGGTCTAAACAAGAGGATAAAGCCCTAGCCGGGTAGCTCAGTTAGTTAGAGTGTCGTCCCCTTGCACCAAGGTTGCTGGTTCAATCCCCGGTCAGGGCACATGCAAGAATCAACCAATGAATGCATAAATAAGTGGAACAACAAATCGATCTCTCTCTCTCACTCTCTCTCTAATCAATAAATTAAAAATAATAAAATTTGATGTCTTTGTATCTATGAGTCTGTTTCTATTTTAAAAAAATAAATAAAAATAAGCAAGGGGATAAATCAGTTAAGACAAGGAAACGGGGGCACTTAAAAAAGATTAAGGGCATGGGAGTGTGTGTTGATCATGTCCAGAAGGCATAGGTTGGGAAGGAACGTTAAGGGTGAAGTTGAGCCTGTCCCAAATGGCTGCTTCCTTCCAAGCAAAATAAGCCACAAATTTGCCAGCAATGTGTCATGACTTTACTGCCCATGGAAAAAGAAGAGCCCTGTGACAGCCATTCTTTGCCATCCTCTTGGCCAGGAGCATGGCATCCAGAGTCCAGACTTGCGACCCTGGCTACTTTGACTAAAACGTTTATTTCCCTCCTCATCCCATCTTCTGTTTCCTGCCAGGCTCAGAGCCCCTTCCTCCCCCACTGTGGAGGAGTAGATGTCCATTTCTCAGGAGCCACAGACTGCTTCCGGCAGATAGTGAAGGCCCAGGGAGTACTGGGGCTCTGGAGTGGATTGGCAGCCAACTTACTGAAGGTGAGAAGAGTGGTCCGTCTCTACTATTTCTCTGCCTCTTCCAGTTCTAGCCTGTTCCTTTGCCGCTCCACATATAGTCGGCATGGAAATGTCCCCTCTAATACGGTAGCCCAAGGCCCAGAAGTGCAGCCTGGCTGTCATCCCTGAAGAGAGAGGACCCTGTGCAATGTTGGGGCATCTGATACCCCATGCCCGAGGAGCTGACTGTTTAATGTAGAGGTTCCTACCATGGGGGTTCATGGACTCCCATGGGGAACCTAACCCCCATCCTAAAATTGTGTGGAAGAATGCAGATGTGTGTGCATATGTGCCTCTCTCTGGGGAAAGGATCCATAGCTTTCATCATATCCCCAAAACTCTATGACCAAAAAAAGGTTAAGAACTCTGGACTGCCCTGGCTGGGTGGTTGAGTTGGTTAGAGCATTGTCCTGTACACCAAATGTTGTGGGTTCGATTCCCAGTCAGGGTACATACGTAGGTTGCAGGTTTGATCCCCAGTCGGGGTGCATGTGGGAGGCAGTCCATCAATGTCTGCCCCTCTCTCCCCCCCTCTCTCTCTCTCTCCTCTAAGCATATCCTTGGGTGAGGATTGAAAAAAAGAAAGAAAAAAAACAAAACCTCACATATTACATTCTTTGGGGGGGAAAAAAAAAAGAACTCTGGACTAACCTTGTACTAACTGACACATAAATGGTTCCAATCAAGACAAGCATGTATTGAAAGGAAGAGTCACATCATCTACGTGGATATTAATCCAGACCTGTGCTTCCCCAGCGCCCTTCGACTGCTCTGCCATTCCCCACCCCCACCTGCCATCTGATTCCAAAAAGAATTACCATGTTGTATTATCCACAGCCTTTAACTCAGTTTACCCAGACTCAAGTTGACTGCAGACACACTGACACTTTCTTTCTAAGATTTTAACATGGTTTTCATTTTATTTTTAAACAGATAGTTCCATATTTTGGAGTTATGTTTGGTACCTTTGAGTTCTGCAAGAGAATCTGTCTTTACCAAAATGGTTACATTATGTCTCCTCTGAGCTATAAATTGACCCCAGGGGTGGATCAGAGTTTGAAGCCCCAGGAATTACGGGAATTAAAGAAGTTCTTCAAAACTGGAAAACTAAATTCTAGAAAACCAACTCTTTAAAACTGAGTGGATCTAGAAGTGCCCTGACTGGAGGCGCGGCGCAATCACGGATAAATGTAGGTTCGCAATTGCATGTGTGGAGTGAGGAGAGGGTACTCCTGTCTGCTACTCTTGGAAATGAGAAGAATCAGCCATACGCCACCTCTGAGCTCCAAACTGATGTCCCTGGGAACACCTGTACCACGGGAAGGTTCCCCAACATGGCTGTCTCCCTTATGGCATTCCGCCAGGTTTTATAACAAAAGCTAGCAGAAATGATACGTGTTATTTACACAAGACCAAAGAAAGGACATTGGCGTGACACCTCAGAGCATTGCCGTGACACCTCAGAGCAACATGCAATTGAAGTAGCTGAGCAGGGACCATGCCATGTGCTCAGTCACAGGGTCACAGCTTGTACTAACCCACATCGGCCTAGTGATGCTCAATTTGACCTGAGACTTCCTAACAGAATCGCCCTGGAACTAAGAACCTCTGCTGACTTCCGAGTGTACACACCACAGTGTAAATTATGCCTTATCAGAAGCTCAATGAAGATGTTTAACATTGAAAAGGTATGACTATCATAGTTGAACCATCCTTTATTTAAATTTGAAGCATCCCAGGCTTAAATCTTGTGTTTCAGGAAGGCAGTTTTTATCATGACTGCTTAATTATGCCCCAAAAGGCCTTCTTCCAACTGCAGTCATGTACAGTTTAAGTGGCCTGAATTCTCTGCCTTTTTAACTTGCTTTGCAAGCCTACCCTGAAAATAAATTATTTAGTCAACTTAAGTTATTCTCACAAGATGTCCCAGTTGCCTAGAAGGATCAAATAGAGCATTGGATACACATACCAAAAAAAACCATATATAACTGAAGAAACGCTTTAAACTAATCATCTCTACCAGATTTTTAAAATGTCACATTTTGGATTGACTCACCTTGGGGATTCTATGTTGTTTATATAACTCCATGCGAATAGTGCCTATCTATGCATTAAAAAAATTTAATATTATGATACCAAGTTATATATATACACAAGCTTCCAGTATGCTGAAAGTATTTTTCCTTATTAAATTTATTTTTGAAATAAAAATGATGTGTTGGTCATTTATTACTAATCTGAGTTTTAAAACGGTGGTTAAATATATACTGGCCAAAATCTTTCAACTCTAAGAACCTTGGTCTACTGAAATATACCAAAATAACTCATTTTTCCAGTTGCCGTGGCAGCTAGTGTTTTATGGCGAATAGCAGTTAATAGACACATGAAAATCTCATCTGTAGCCCAATCTGTTAGAGTTTGGAGGGTGGCAACTCTTTACCCAGAGCAAACAGTTCGTCTGTTATTCTTTATTTCCCTTGAGGTGAACAACTTTTTCAAATTCTGAAAGCTGCAAAAAAATTTTTTTAAACTAAATCTAAAATCCTAACTTCGGGTTACTTACCTCATATCATCAACACCTTCTGTGCATTCTTCCACAGGTGTGATGAAATAGCTAAGCTCTTGCTATTGCCACACACAGGAATGTTTTCTGAGCAGCTGTATTGATTTTTTTTTTTTTAAATGAAGGAAGGAAGGAAAAGCAAATGTCTCATTTTTATAACTTCAAAACAACTCTTAAAACTCTAGCTCTGTCCCTGAAATGAACTTGCAGCTATTTGCATTTTCTCAGCAGTATGAAGGGAGTGTTCTGCTTTATGGCTGGCAGTGTGCACCACGCTGGACTAAGCACTTTAGGAGAATTATATAAAGTGTGATGCAATATTGACCCAGGAGTAATATACAGTCTTAGGGAACAAAACTTACCTACATACATGAAATGGCTATGATTACAGAGCAAACACAAGCAAAGGCATGATAATGTGGTAACAGCTGTTTGCAAGACTGCTAAGGGGTTCTGTGTACACTCACTGAATCAATGATTAACAGGATCATCAGGTGAGAGGGACCGGTAAAGAGCAGGGGTTTTGGAAGTAGTGAGTCTTGAACTAAGTTTTGAAGGAAGTGAGAGGATACTGGTTGGTCAAGAATAAGTTGGAGGGCATTACAGGCTGAAGGCAGGTCATGTGCAGTGTCACGGAGATGGAGGCAAGCAAAAGTTGTTTGGGATAGAGTAAGAGGACCGGTCTCATGCATTTATTCAGCTGCGGGGCACTCTGGACACAGTGGTACATAAGTCAGAAAGGTCCTTGCCCTTCTGGAGCTTACAGCTGAGTGAAAGCAGCAGTCAATAAAGAAATAAATGAATCCATAAGTTACGTAATTACAGATTATAATGTTATGAGGGAAATCAACAGGGCACTTTGTTAGAGAACTTTGTGGGAGTGAAGGAAATATCTTAAATCAGGGAGCCAGGGAAGGCCACTCTGAGATGTGACATTTGAGATGGGACCTGGAGGGTGAGAATGAGCCAACCATGCAAAGAACTAGGGAGAACATTCCTGCCTGAGAAAGCAGAAGGTGCCAAAGCGGTGCTGGTAGTGGGGAAAGACTTAGTGAACAGAAAATGGGTGAGTGTGGGCAGTGAGTGAGTGAGAGAGTGTCTGAGATGAGGTTGGGTAGAGAGCCAGATCATATGTGGCCATTTGGGCCATAGTAAGAAGTTAAATTTTACTCTAAATGCAGTGGAGAGTCTTTGAAGGTTTTTATGTACAGCAGATTCAATTATTTCATTTTTAAAATTTCCTTCTGATTGCTGTGTGGATAATAGATTGGAGGGAAGCGAGGCTGTGAGTGGGAAGACCAGTTAAGAGACTATTACAAAGTCCAAGTAAGACATGATAGCTTGGACTAGAATAGTAGCAATAAAGATGGAGAGGAGTGAATGGGTTCAAGACATATTTTGGAGCTAGACTCAGCAGGATTTACTGAGTGACTGAATGTAGGGAATAAAAGGAAGGAATCAAAATGACACCTAGGTTTTTGGCTTTTGACTTGACTAACAAGGTAGATAATGTTGACATTTACTAATGTGAGGAAGACTGGTGAGGGCCAGAGTTTTGGTGGGGAAGGAATTAAAAGGTCTCTTCTGGACATGTTAAATTCAAAATGCCCATGAGAAATCCAAGTAGACAGTTGTCTGGAGCACAGACTGTTTATGTAATTGTCCAAACCAGTTGTGGTAGACAGAATAATGACACCCCCCCAAGGGTGTCCACACCCTAATACCTAGGACCTGTGAACATTTACCTTATGTTACAAATGGGACTTTGCAGATGTGATTAAGGTTGAGGGAAGGAGAGAGAGAGAAACATCAGTGTGAGAAAGACACATCCATTGGTTGCCTCCCCCACATGCCCTGACAGGGGCCTGGGATCGAACCTGCAACCAAGGTATGTGCCATTGACCAGAATCAAACCCGCGACCCTTCAGTCCACAGGCTGACACTCTAACCATGAAGCCAAACTGGCTAAGGCTAGGTTAAGGATATTAAGATGGAGAGATTATCATGGTTTATCTGGGTGGGCCCAATCTAATCACAAGTCCCTAAAATTGGAAGAGAAAGGTGGAAGAGTGGGACAGAACAAGAGGCAGAAGGAATGGGACATGAGAAGAACTTGATTCACCACTGCTGGCTTTGAAGACAAAGGTGTCCAGGAGTTAAGGAATGGGAATGGCCTCTAGAAGCTGAGAATAACCCTCAGCTGACTGCCAACAAGGAAATGGGGACTTCAGTCTTACAACCACAAGGTACCGAATTCAGCCAACAACCTGAATGAGCCAGGAAACAGACTTTTCCTGACAGCCTCCAGAAAGAGACACATTCCAGTCAGACACCTTGATGTTAGCCCAGTGAGACCCACATCAGACTTCTGATCTCCATAACTGTAAGATAATAAATTTGTCTTGTTTAAGCCACTGAGTTTGCAGGAATTTGTTATGGCAGCAATAGAAAGCTAATAAAGCAGGACACTATTAATAATAATGTCTAATGTCAGAATAATAAGCATAAACCAGAACAGTCCTGGGCAAACTGGGACAAGTCTGGAGTTCAGGGGAGAGTGGTGACAGGAGACAGAAATTTGGGTGTCATCAGCAGATAGATGGCCTTTAAAGCCAAGAGACTGAATGAGACCGCCAAAGGAGTGGATGGCAAGAAACTCCTGGGGGAGGGGGAAGCAACAAAAAATGACATTGAGGGGATGGTGGCAAAAGAAAGGCCTCAAGCAAGATGTAGAGGAACTGGAACTCTTCTACCCTGCTGTTGGGGGATGTAAAATGCTACAGTCATTTTACAGTCTGGCAGTTCCTCAAGTGAGTCAACATGGAGTTACCATATGGCCTAGCAATTCCACTCCTAGGTATATACACCAGAGAAAGGAAAACATATGTCCACATAAAAACTTGTACAGGCATGTTTATAGCAGCATCGTTCATAATAGGCAAAAATTGGAAATGACCCAAATGTCTATCAAGTGATGAATGGAGAAGCAACATGTGATATATCCATAGTAGGAGAAAGGAACTGACTATTGATACACAAAAAGCATGGATGAATCTCAATATATATGGAAAGAAGCCAGATCTACCCCCCAAAGGGTACATACTTTATGATTCCATTGATACAAAATTCTAGGAAAGATAAACTGATTTATAGTGATGGAAAGCAGATCAGTGGTTGCTTGGGAGAGGAGGGATTACAATGGGGCACAAGAAAATTGAGGGTGGTGATGGATACGTTTACTATCTTAACTGTGATGGTTTCAGAGGTGTATATGTATGTAAAAAACTTAGCAATTGTACACTTTAAATATGTACAGTTTTATTGTGTGATACCTCAATAAGACTGCTGTTTTGTTTTAAGCAGTTATCCCAGGGCTGGAATTTCTAAGCCTGCCCAGAGGGGCCAGAAGTGAAATCCTTGGGGCAGGGAGAGAGAAAAGGGCTTCAAATGCTGGGCGGAGGAGCTTACGTTTGACCCACTAAGCAAAGAGGAGTCACTGGTTTCTTGAGCAACATAGGTGATGTGATTAAAAACTGGACGTGAGCAAGACTGCTCTGGAAACTGAAGTGAGAGACTGCAAACAACAAGATTGGCCCACAAACGAGCATTGTCTCCTCCTCAGTAATCACACCACCAACACGAGTGTGATGCTAGGATCTTCCATATTGCAAATGCAAGCCAGGTCTGAGAACTGAGAGCGTTTGATCTGGGTACTTCTTAGAGGCTCAAATCCTGCTTATATGGGCTCTGATATGGTTACCAGATTATAGGTGGGGCCCTTACCAAGGATGGAGAACTGGCTTAGTATCCTTCTTAAACAGGGGCGGAGTGACTGGTCATTAGCATTTTTCTTAGTATTAATGAAATCTAACATGTATGGAATGCTTACTATGTACCAGACTTTGTCTATACATCTATTACCTCATGTCATTGTCCCTACAGTACTATTCTCATTCCCATTTTATACCTGAAGACACTGAAGTTTAGAGAGGTTAAGTAACTTACCCAAGGCCTGACAGCAAGGGGCAGAGCCAGTATTTGAACTCAAGCAGTCTGACTCCAGAACCCACCCCGTTGACCACTGGGCTAAATTATCTCTTTTTTTATTTTGTCCTAGATTCCCAAATTCAGATGCTCAAGTCCAATTCAGTCTCACAGATACAAAAGCATATAGCCATAGCATCTTAGAATTGGGTGTAGAACTCTCCAGCCAACACAGCAATCTCCTCTTCAGTGTCCCTAACAAGTGGCCAAATCCACTCTTAACATTTTCATCAACAAAGAGTTCCCCACATCATAAAGCAACCCATTCCACCTTTAAGTAGCTGGTATTTTAGAAAGTTATTTCTTGTTCAGCTGAAGTCTACTTTCATGAAACTTCTACCAACTGGTGATGACTCCATATAGAATGTCTAATTCTCTTCTACCTGAGAGTCCTTCAGTTATGAAACAGGATGTCCCTCCTTCACCCAAAGCTCTTTCCCCATTAAATATATCTCTCATTCATTCAGCCATTTCTCATATGACGAGATTTATAGACACTTCCCTTTCCTGACTGCCTTCTTTGAATGTTCCAGTCTGTTAATGTCCTCTTTAAACATGGCATCCAGAAGAAAGCATAAAGCTCTATGGACCAACCAGCAGAGGCCCAAGTGGGACCAAAAGTCCACCTGATCAGTTCACCACCATCCTCTTGGCCCAACTCAATACTCATCAGAATTTTTTGGCATTGTCACCTCACAGTCAACTAAGACCCCCAGTTCCAACAATGCTACTTTAAGCTGTAGCTCCTCATCCTTAAATATCCTGCACTAAATAGAGCATTGGAACCCTTTATGTGGCCCTTCTTGTTTTATAAGCCTGGGTTTACTCTGGCCTTAGGCCCTTCTGACTCAGTTCCTAGAGGTCTATGATACACTTTGGTCTTCCTCCTTGAAAACCTAGCCCTCCTTCTGTCATCTACATATGTATTTCAAAATCTAAGCTCATCAGAGAATAATCTGTGAGGACACTTTAGTTTATTAGATCTCTCTCCCTTTTTAATTTCTCAATGAACTTTTTCTAAGTTCTTATCTTTGGAATTTCTTGCCCTCTTGAGCTATCTTTCTCTTTAGATGCTTGGCCAGAAGATCATATTTATCTTTTCTCTGTTCCTTTTGATCTCTCTCTCTGTCTCTCTCTCCCTCCCACACAAACACACACACACTTTAGTTAACCCATCTGACCATGCCTAGCATTCTTTTGCTTAACAGATCCAGATGGCATGGTCAGTTTCCCCAAGATTCTTGACATTTTTATTTTGCTAACCAGATCTTTCTTATTTATTATCAGGATTAAGTCCAGTTTAGCAATTTCCTCTCTCTGCTTCTTCAGTC